GGGGGCGGAAGAATGTGAGAAGGCGGGATGAAGAGCAACGCATTTCCTAGTCGAAGTCGGCTGCAGAGGTTTCGTGGCGACTTTCCAGAACATGGATGAGAATGGATGGACTCGGAAAGGGAATATCGTGTCAAACGCTCCGCAGAGACCCTCGGGGAAACAAGTCACTGGATCTGGCGGCAGAAAAAATGACAACAGCTGGAGTGAGTCCTGATGGCTGACAGCAAAGACAGTCGACCTGGCGAGGATATCTTACGTCGGTTAGGGGGCTCGGTGCGTCATTACAACTGTAGAGAGGAAGAGGGAGCTTTCATGGTCTAGAGGTTACGGTGTTCGCCTGTTTCAATAGGTCCCGGGCTCGAAACCTGGCAGCCGCAGGTCGCTGTTTGGAACTATCTGGATATCGTTTGTTTGTTTGTTTGTTTGCGTGGGTCTTTTTTATAATGATTGTCTTTTTGTTTTTTTGTTTGCTTGTTTGCTTGTTTATTTACCCGTCTGTTTGTTTGTTACTTATGGAGATTGCTCATTTGTTGTTTAAACCTGGCGTCCTACTTTTGGTATTGTTTTTAAAGTAGTGTACACATTTTTAGACCGAAACAAATATTTTGTTGGTGTGTTTGTTCGTTTATTTTGTTTTAACCTTAAGAGATTGTTAATTTGTTGTTTTAACTTGGAGCCCTGAATTTTTTAATTCCCATTTATGTGATAAGAGAAGAATTTTTGCTAAAGGGTGGTGGCATTTAAACTAGTCTTCTCCTTCAAGTGGTAGATTTGAAACAGATATAAGCTTATATAAGTTTGCTTAGATGTTGTAAAAATCCTATGTTGTCCTTGTCTTTTCCTTTTTAATTTCTCAAGTAAGTCGGGTTTTTTATCTTCTTCTGCCTAGTGTAGACCTGTTAAATTAATGTTGTCTTTAGGCCTTTCCCAAAAGAGGGATATTAGGTGTTCTTATGCTCAGTAGAATTGTAAATGGGCTGATTTATCAAAGTCGTGCTCATACTATGCTGGATCAAGATGGGGTGACCTGCTGCTTTTTCTTTCCCCATCCTTACTATCGTCATTCTTTTGCTACTTATTTTGTATGTTTGTCACTCTCTTGTGAACTGCTATTTCCGGAGTGCCTTGATAGTCGAAGCACACTTTGTGCTGTCGAGGCTAAAGAGGTGAGCAGAGTAAGCCTGATTCCGCGTTTGGACTTCTCGGTTGGCATCCACCCCTTGGCGCTCATTTGACCCTTTGCAGTAGCAAGCGCCGTAAAACCTTACTAAAACAAACAAACCTAATGCTGTTTTATTGTTGATGCACGCAGGAGCTGTTGTGGTGACCGCGGACCTGAACGACAGCAGGAGTCTGATGAGAGTAATGGAGGGGGCGGCGGGGGTGTTCCTGAGCACCAACTACTGGGAACATCTCAACAAACAGAAGGAGATTACTCACGTGAGTCTCTCTCTCTCTCTCTCTCTCTCTCTCTCTCTCTCTCTCTCTCTCTCTCT